AAAAAAAAAAAAAAAAAAACAAAAAAAAAGACCAGCCTGGGCAACTTGGCAAGACCTTGTCTCTACAATAAATAAAAAGAGTTAGCCATGCATAGTGGCACATGTCTATGGTTCCAGCTACTTGGAAGGCTGAGGAGGAAGAATCACCTGAGCCCAGCAGGGATTGTATTACAACTTTTGTAGGCTCTAGGCGATTTTGCTTTCATCCATAAAAAAATATTAAAAATTGGCCGGGTTCGGTGGCTCAGCCTGTAATTCCGTGCTTTAGGAGGCTGAGGTGAGTGAATTGCCTGAGCCCGCAGGTTCGAGACCTGCCTGGACAACTTGGCGAGACCTCATCTCTACGATAAATAAAAAAAAAATTAGCCAGGCATGGTGGCGCACGCCTGTAGTTCCAACTACTTGGAAAGGCTGAGGTGGAAGAATTCGCGGAGCCCAGCAGGTCGAGGCTGCGGTGACAGGGAGTGTGCCACTGCACTCCAGTCTGGGTGACAGAGTGAGACTCCAACTCAAAAAAAAAAAATTATAGTTTATAACAGCACTGCTATAGAGACAAACATAACACAGATTGGATGACATACATTTTTTTCTTCTAATTTAAAAGAAATTAAAACATTTTCACAAGCCTCTAAAAGGATCGCAGATCCTCGGCACTCTGCTTAACTGTGCCTTATGGATAAATCAACCGGGATATAGCAGTAAATAAAACAAAAATCCTAGCCAGGCTCGGTGGTTCAGCCTGTAATCCCGCACCTTTGGGAGGCTGAGGTGAGTGGATTGCCTGAGCCCGCAGGTTCAAGACCCGCCTGGGCAACTTGGCGAGACCTCACCTCTACAACAAATCAAAAATCACCCGGGTGTGGTAGTGCACACCTGTAGTTCCAGCTACTTGGAAGGCTGAGGCGGAAGGATCGCCGGAGCCCAGCAGGTCGAGGCTGCGGTGGCCGGGAGCGGCCACTGCACTCCAGTCTGGGCGACAGAGTGAGACTCCAACTCAAAAAAAAATAAAAATAAAACAAAAATCCTTGCCCTCAAACTGGGCGTAGTGGCTCATGCCTATAATTCCAGCACTTTGGGAGGTGGAGGTGAGAGGATTGCCTGAGCCCTGGGATTTGAGACCAGCCTGGGCAACATGGCGAGACATCGTCTCTACAATAAATAAAAAAGTTAGCTGGGTGTGGTGGCACATACCTGTAGTCCCAGGTACTCAAGAGACTGAGGCTAAAGGATCGCCTGAACCCCGCAGGTTGATGCTGCGGTGCCCATGAGTATGCCACCACACTCAAGCCTGGGCAGCAGAGTAAGACTCCAATTAAAAAAAGAAAAAAAATCCCAGCCCTCCTGGAGTTTCTAATAAACAAATAACTAAAGAAATAAAATTCAGGCCAGTCACAATGGCACACATCTGTAATCCTAGCACTTTGGGAGGCTGTGGCAGGAGGATTGCTTAAGCCCAGGAGTTGGAGGCTGCAGTGAACTATGATCAAGCCACTGCACTCCAGCCTGGATGAAAGACTGAGACCCTGTCTCTCACAAAGAAAAAAAAAGAAGACTTCAGGTGCAAATAAATGATGAGAAGAGTGACAAAGAATGTGGCTTATTTAGATCAAGTAGTCAGGAAAGTATTCTCTGAAGAGGTTACATTAAGCTAAGTGCTGAGTGGCAAAGAAGAAACCAGCCATGCAAAAATCAGGGTGAAAGAACATTCCAGACAGAGGGAATACTGAAGGCTTTAAGGTGGAAATAAACTTGGCAGTTTAGAGAAACAAAGAGGACCCATGTGGCCGGAACTGGCCTGTTCCTGCAGACCCAGAGGGCAGAGCTGGGATTAGTGGGTAAAAATTATGCAGAAGGTGAGGAAAGAAATTGGCTAAAACCAGAACCATCCAGCAAGGCAAGAGACAGCCTTGAGAGGGAGTACATGACTCCCAGAGGCCCCTGAGACCCTGAGAGCAAAGCCCAGGTTGCCCCTCTTCAGGACGCTGCCCAGGAAGTAGCAAGATTTTAGGATTCCTAGCCACTCTTTTGCTCTCCTTAGATTTTGTTTTCCCTGAAGTCTGTGTTTGCTCAGAAGGTTTTCCTGCTGATTTGCAAAACCCAGAGTAACACCCAGGCACTACAGTGATATGAAACCCTCTTAGACATGGTCAGGTAACACCTTGAGCTTCATAAATAGGCCTGGACACTTTTTCTTCCTTTCTGCTTCCTGTATTGTTTCTTGCTGGGGCTTCCAAGGCCCCCCTCTAAAACAGAAGGAAAGTGGTGTGCAAAAAAATAAATATCTTTCTTTTTTCTTTGAGTTGGAGTCGCACTTTTATCACCCGGGCTGTAGTGCAGTGGCACGCTCACAGCCACTGCAGCCTCTACCTGCTGAGCTTAGGCGATCCTTCTGCCTCAGCCTTCCAAGTAGCTGGAACTACAGACGCATGCCACCAGATCCAGCTAGTTTTTTTAATGATTTATTGTAGAGATGAGGTCCCACCAAATTGCCCAGGCTGCTCTCAAACCCATGGGCTCAGGCAGTCCTCTCGCCTGTCTCCCAAAGTGCTGGGATTACAGGATGAGCCACCGCACCAGACCATAAATATCTTTTTTTTTTTTTTTGAGTTGGAGTCTCACTCAGTCACTCAGACTGGAGTGCAGTGGCCACTCCCGGCCACCGCAGCCTCAACCTGCTGGGCTCCGGTGATCCTTCCGCTTCAACCTTCCAAGTAGCTGGAACTACAGGCACGCGCTACCACGGCCGGCTAATTTTTTTGATTTATTGTAGAGATGAGGTTTCGCCAAGTGGCTCAGGCGGGTCTCGAACCCGCGGGCTCAGGAAATTCACTCACCTCGGCCCCCCAAAGCGCGGGATTACAGGCTGAGCCACCGAGCTCGGTGACTCAGCCCATAAATATCTTTATTTTATTTTATCTTATTTTATTTTATTTTATTTATTTTTGTTTGTTTGGGTTTTTTGTTTGTTTGTTTTTTGAGTTGGAGTCTCACTCTGTCGCCCAGATTGGAGTGCAGTGGCTGCTCC